ATATTTGATATAGCGATCGACTCCTTTTCTTATATTCGAATTAGAGTAGGGTTTCGATACTACAAGTAAAGCAGTGTACTGAGATGAACTCATGCTAGTTCGTTTAAGATGATGAAGTAATGGTGGTAGAATTTTATTAATTTTCGAATTTACTTAAATATATATACATAGAACCAAGAGAGGACTCATGTTTATATTCTACTAAATTAAATACGTAAAAGTTATTCTGAAAAAGCTTAGTCTAGTCTGCAAAATAATTTTAAAAATTATGTTTAAATTGTTTTTTCAACAATTCATTATTTGCCCATTTTGAAGGTTTAGCTATTAATGGCTTTAACAATATAAAAATTATATGTATATAATCATCTGTAGAAAAAAAATCATATATTCTGATGGCTTTGTGTGAATTATATAAACAAAATAAAATTTTAAATAATAAATAGATTTTTGTTTCTGAGAAGCTCAAACATTTGATCAATCTACTTAATCTTTCTCTGTTAGAGTATTCATTTGATAACTCAGGATTAGAATTCAATAAAGAAATGAGTTTATCATTACTTATTATACATATTGCTACATTATTATTTCAAATAAATTATTTACATTATTTGATTGCCTTGACGTCTATAATTAATTTTTTAAATTAAAAATGTAATTATTTATATATTATTTACATTTAGCATATCTCACAATTTTTTATATTTATCAACTTGAATTTTTTATTTTATTATATAAGCCTCGAGATATCAGGCCGTAATTACTTCAGGATTATTGTTAATTATACGAATTGCTAAATTGTGAAAACGTAAAAAATTTAAAGTAAGGCATTTAATTTTCGGAATAGATATAAAGATAAATACTGAGAGAAGTTCAAACAAGAGTTAATTTTATGTCAATTTTTTATAGCTCAGTCCCTAGCTATTTTACTTTAATTTAACTGCTTGATATAATTCTGCATAACAAATAAAGATCCGTTATTTACCCTTAATATGAATAAGAAATAGTTTTTGCAATAATTAATAACTTTGCATTTAATTACATGACTTAAAGCGCAAATTGTAAATATTTGAAATGTATTCGTATGTATATTTTTAAGAAATTAATATAGTTTAATGCCCAGTGCTATAAAAGTAGTTAATGCAAG